TTTTACTCCTTGGTCAGCCTAATGACAGGACATCTTCCATCCTTCAGAATCTCATTAGGAACCTCTTCCTCATCAGAGTCTTTGTCAATTTCATCATCCATATTCATATCCTCCATAGAATTGACTATGGATTTAGCTGGTTCATCCACATGATTGACTATGGATTTGACTGGTTCACCCCTTAGCAGATCTCGGAATGAAACTGTCCCACCATTTTGATTAACAACTGGTTGTTCTACCAAATTGTTATCCCTAGAATCCCTTTGCACCTATGCATCAGCCTCGAGCATATCCTCATCATTATGTGAGGGTGAACCAAATATGAATTGTGTAATTTTTCTTTTAGGTTTCTTGTTAGATCGATCCAATTGGTCTCTTTCCTCAATGGAATGAGCACCATTTTTCATACCTGAAGGGTTTTTTGCAAAGAGAGTTTTTTCCATTTTTTTTAATTTTAAATCTAGTTGTTGATAGTATTTGTAATTAACCCAAAATTTTGAGTAGATGACGCTATACATGGTCGTGCCACTAAACTTTATCATATAAATTTTATCTTTTTATATGGTTATGACAGTAGTGATAATCAATTTTTATATAAATTATTTTCTTTAAGTAGCTTTTTCGCTAGTAATTTTTGTAAACAGGTTGCTCCAGCTTCAAATTGTGGTACCTGATTTTTAGTGGACAAAGATTAGTCTATAAAGATTCCACTTAAGTGTCTAATAAGACTTATAAACAAAATTTAGAGTCGCCACCTTATTTTTATACGAATAAGGACGGATTTTAAAAAAAAAATCAATTTTAAGAAATAAAACTAAAAAAAAAAAATCAATTTTTAACTGCATAAAGATAAATAAGGCACAGGGTTCAGGGTTTAAGTTAAGAGAATCGAACGTCTGGAACTCGTCTTCCCTTCCGTTCTAAGGAAAGAGCTCTTACTATTGCGTTGTTAAAATTCAAGTTTTAAGACATGATAGTCACAAAAAAAATGATATAATAATTTATATAAGGTAGGTTTGAGCACCAAAGTTGCACTATGTACCGATCATAGTGAGATTTTAAATTCACTCACGGATCAAAAACCTTCGTAGTTCGGACTGATGCCATGTTTTAAATAACCAATTCCATTGGGTTTTAATTTGGGTAGTTGACATAAACTTCATTTTTTGTAAGTGGATTTTAGTGATCTTTGATGGATTCACTCATAAAAGTAAAATGAACCACCTTGGTTGAGGAAAATCACCCCGATTAGTGATTACCCAAAATGTCTTTTGAACAAGACAATTCAACAAATGCGTCCCAATTGACGACTTTTAGTGGATCAAGGTATTTTTTGGAGTGAAAATGTAAGGGTTCACTATATAATCTCACTTTCAGTTTAAAATCATTCAAGAGTAATTTTTGTAAGGTTTTAAGGGTTATGTGTTTAGGCTTAATAGAATTGACCAAGTAAAAAACGACACTTGTCAAGGCCTTACTTCCAAATAAATGGGAACAATAAACTATTTAATCATATACGATTGTCAATTAATCCATCGGGTAATTATAACGGGATATAAGCTTATTTTTATGGAGATGGACAATTGTTACAACCTTATACAACTAAATAATTAATCTTAGCCTCATGTTTGGAAATGAGGCCATAACCTCATATCAACTATCATTAATTATTAAAAACAAACAAGCAAAGTTATAATTCATTCTTGTGTTACAAAAGGGTTTAAAATAAGAAGGTTCACAAAATTATAAAAGAAAATAAAGTTTGTTAAAACTTTTATTTCTGAAGTCATATTAAAATAAAATTAAAGTCCTTAAGACATGATCATTTATTTCAAAAGTCATCTTAATATAAGATTAAAGATTTTTAAAACAACGACATTTAGAATTAAAGACTCTTATTTCTAAAGTCATCTTTAAAATAAGATTAAAGTTTCTTAAAATAACACTTAGAATTAAAACTTGTTAGAAACTCTTATTTCTAAAGTCATATTTAAAATAAGATTAAAGATTTTAAAATAACAACATTTAGAATTAAAGTTTGTTAAAAACTCTTATTTCTAAAGTCATCTCTAGATAAAATTAAGACATCTTAATTAAAACTCCATAAGTTAGGAAGTATATGTAAAATATAGTGCAATATAGGTTTCATACCACCATTAGTTTCTTAAAAATAAATTAATACAATTTTAAAAAGCAATTAAGAGAAAAACGTGCATATTTCATCTCTTTGATAGCTTGAAATAAAAAAAAAAATCATTAAAAATCATAAATCGAAAAAATTTATTGTGAGATACGGTTGGAAAGCTCTTGAAAAGTTCTGTCACTTTTTTTTTTTTGAAGAGGAAAAGTTTTATCACTTGAGCTAAAGAAATGGAACTGCTTCTGGTCGTAAGGGTTGTTTCATAGGCCATCTTTGGGACGTAGTAAGTAATTCTTTACTCTTGAACATCCTTTACATAAATTCTTAATTCATTAGGTCTTTAAGCTCACTTTAAGAAATAAATCATTCTTAAAAATATACTTTAGGCAGACACATGAATGTATTAACCTTTTAAATTTAAATGCACAAGCTAAGATAGTGCACGCCATGCGTGCACAATATAAGAAATATGTATGTAATATTATAGTAGTGAAAGTTATAAAATAAAAGGTTGAAATTATTACAATTAGTAGTTGCAATAAATACATGATTGGAAAAACAGAAATTACTACATGAAATTAACTTTACAAACATTAGTCATTAGAAACACCGGGCGCAATAATTTTGTTCATACATTATGCTCGTCACAATTTGTCTATCCTGCACCATGTTAAAAAAAAAATATATTAGAATCTAGTTATAAGATGTATATAACAATTGCAAAAGATAATACTTGGAAAAAAAATAGTGTGAAGCATAATATTAATTACCGTGTTTCTAAACTGCTAAGTAAAATGAGGCAGGAGAACTTCTTTATAAACAACGTTTTTAGTGAACACACCATCTTTTCCTTGAATGCTGCCATTAGTAACCAAGATCTTGGTCGTTTGTTGGGAAGTCCCTCTTGATAGTGCAACATAAAACTGGCCATGACTAAAAACATGTTTGGGAAGATAAATACCAACATGAGGAATGGTTTGACCTTGAGATTTGTTAATGGTCAAGGCAAAGCACAATTTCACTAGAAATTGTTTTCGAATCATTTCAAATGGTAACTTTGCATCTTCAGCTTTTTTTAAAGGAATGGTGGAATGAATACCCGTGTACCTTTGCAATGTCCAGTCATGATTTCAGCCTCTATAACATGATTCATTAATTGACAACATATTAACCTTGTCCCGTTGCATAGGCCGCTACTTGTATCAATATTTCGCAAAAGCATTATGGGTGATCCAACTTTCAACCTCAAAAGATGTGGTGGCAAACCAGTAAATGACAATGAATTTAAGAACTCTTGTTGGTAAAGATTTTGACGGTCTTCTGGCACGGAGTCAAAGGAATAATATATTTTTTCATCTCCGGCAAAATCATTTAGTATCTTCTCATTTAGCATATCAACCTCATCATTTGTCAGAGTTATTATAGCCCTCTCTACCATATATGTCACATCCCCTTCATGTTTAGGTAAGTTTGGGAATACCTGATGGATTAAGTTATCAATCGAGTTCTCTGGTTGCCATTTGGGATGCATAATGAATACAGTAATTTAATCATGTCTTCATTAAATACAGGCTCCCATTTGTCACCAACTCTTAAAAGAAATGCTGCAAATTCTTCATCATGTCTGGATCCCATATTTTGAGTGAGGTGAAGTTGCTGAACATGCCTCCAAAGTGTTGATTTAACTAAACATGCATCAATGGTTTGAGCTTTTGTTCCTTTAGTCACAACTGGAAGAATTTGCCTAAAATTTCCACCAAATACTACAACCTTGCCACCAAACGGAAAGTCAACCTCCATTAGATCTCTCAAGCTGCGATCTACAGCCTCATATGCATGTCGGTGAGTCATAGTAGCTTCATCCCATATAATACAGCTGCATGCTTTACCAATTGTGCTTCAACATCTTGTTTGCTAAATATCCACATTGATGAAGCATGTAATGTTACAGGAATCCCCAAAGTTTTATGAGTTGTTTTACCTCGATGTAATAACGTGGCAGCAATACCTGAGCTAGCTACAGCAAGACCAAATTTCCCTCTAAGCTTAACAGTTGCAAGAATGGCACGATATAAGAAGGTCTTCCCTATACCACCTGGACCATCTACGAAGAAATTTTGATTTTTATCTCCATCTATAGCTTCCATTATGACATTAAATGAATGGCGTTAGTCATCATTAAGATGCTCAGCGCAATGCACATCTTCTGGTGGAATGGGAGCAGAGATTTCTTCATGTATAGCCCTGGCTAATTGTATGTTTCCATCTAGTTGCATAAAGCACGGACACCACTTGGTTGGCAATAAACCAATATCGCGGCAAATAATCTTCTCAATGAAGATGGAATTTTAGAGTTTGATGCTTCTTGTAAACAATCATGAATGCTCGCATCATTCTCCATAAGACCTAATTTTTCAGCTGCTTCTCTAAAAGTGGGATAGGTAACTCCATTGACGGTTTGTAGATGCTGGAATGATTCAGGGCCTTTGATAAGATTAAGTACCTGTTGCAAGAAAAATCTCTCTCCTTCCATTGGTGATGATGTGTATATTCTTCCAATCACTTTCAGGTTATTCCTCCTTTTCCTCCATGTATTTGTTGATGTCATCCATCGATAACGCCGAGGAAAGTCTTTATAGAGATAAGATCTTGCCTCAGGATCAATGACATTCATCTTAAAGAATTCTGTGAGCATGGTTTGGGAGTTTTCTGGCATTTGAAGGATATCTTCGATAGATTGATTTGTATTAAATCGTACCTGGTGTCTATCTGGAAGATGGAGTTGTAATCGTTCCACAGAAGGATACATTCGAGTGATTGGAAACTGATAAATTCTCCATAAGGCCTCGAGTGCACAAACTCACCTAGAATCCACAAATTGTTGAATCTCATTGTTATCTGCTCCTGCTCGTACTTCCATGGAAACACGATCAACACCCTTGTGCACATATTTGTACAGATATTTAACACTCTTGATGCTGCTACAAATCTCAACATTTATATGACAATCATACTTTAGTAGTAACCATGGATTATAGGGAACAACCCAACTATTATCAACATAGGTTGAGCTATTCTCATGCAAAGGCACAGCAGCACGATCACTGCGACAACGGTAAACAGGGTAGGAGTTATCACCTTGAATAGTGCTTGCAGAAAATGGTTTTGGGAATTTTCGCTTACAAACTCCATTTTCCATGCAAGATGAATTTCGGTGTCCAACACCGCATGGGTTATGGATCATGTGTTTGAGAACAGCACTATACAATCGTGGCTCCTCATCTCTATCTGGTATTTCAGCTTTCACGATTTTGTCATATTCTTCGGGCGATCTTGGTTTGTCGTTTTCATCCAAAATGAGTAACATGTGAACATGTGGCAAACCTCTTTTTTGAAACTCAACGACATAGACATACACCACAACATTCCCAAGGACGCCTTTATCAACAACATCACTCTTGAACTCTTCAAATTTTGCATGAAATATCCTAGTGATTAAATCAGGTCGGTCTTGTGCTGTTTGACCGGGTAATAACTTTTCCACAATTTCTTTCCATGATGGGTTGCATGTCATAGTGATGAAAAGGTCCGGATTTCCATAATTTATAACTAATGCCATTGCATCTTAATATCTTTCATTCAAGTCTCTTGGACTTCCAACAAATGAAGAAGGTAAGACGGTTGTTTTCCCAACATTTACTGTTAGTGATTTAGGGTAAGTATATTTTAGCAAACTAATAAAGAAATTTGTAGTAACCATAATGTTTTAAATTATATATGTAACTTTTTTTAAAAAAAAAATACCTGGATTTAGTTCTCCAGCAGCCAAACAATCTTGTAAGCCTTGGTATAGTTCAGCTCTTATGGTATGTTGATGGTCTCGGATCCATCTTAGCTTATTAGCCTCAATTTTGACAAAATTGTCAACAACAAATTGTTGGAACAGCCGTTGTGCAAGCAAGATGTTTGAAATAGAATGTGGACGTATCTGCAATAAAAATCATCTACATGGATTAGAAATAATTACGAAAATCAATTTATTAACACATATATGTGAGAGTAGTAACATTACTTGGAAGTAATAAGCGTAGAAAGCTCGACACGGAATTGTTCTTCCATTATTGTCAACACTATTAATCGACCATCCATAAGAACCATACGGAAAAAGTAATGGATATTGTAGGGGGTCATAATATCCTACCATGTCCATGATAGTCATTAATTCACCAGAATTTGACTGGACTAAAATACCTCTCGGATTCAAGTTCGCAACTTCTTCTCCACCGACAATCACTGCAGCAACTTGGGAAGTAGATGGTAAACAATATTGTGGCCGATTTGAAGGTTGTTCGCGAATGTGAAGTGCACATTGCTGTATGTCTTCACGCTGTGCTAGAGATCGAAGAGTATGGACAAATGGATTGCATTGATCCAGAATAGCTTTGATTCTTTGTATAATGTCTCGTCGCAACGTGCTATTCTCTGCTAATCGATTCTCAATCTCATGTTCAATGTCGTATATGTACAACTGAAGGAATCATGGTCGACAATCTGATCCATTAGGGAGTAAACCACCTATCTTATGATATATGGAACCTTGAGCTCGAAAGGTATATACTCCTTGTTGGACATTTGCTAAACTCTCATCTATGTGAACACCCATGGAAGTGAAGGCTTGTATGTGATTTAGTTTTCTAAGATTATGCCTAAAATCCACTCCAATATGTGTTTGATCAATGTATAATGATAGCAGTTTTGCAGGAACTGGTATAGTTGGCAAGATTATCTTTCCGGACATACAACAAATCTGTGATGATTCTTTATGAAAAAGTCGAGCTTGACAATGTGAACATAGTCTTGGAGGACAAAGTTGGACATTTGGGACTCCTCTTTGATCGTGAAAATTTATTGCAAATCGAGGATTCACTCTTTGCCTAATTATTCGTTCATCAACAGTGTTTACATGCATGACATTATGATGGTTAGTGTTCGAAGTTCCACTACTTTCGCCAATTTCCCGGACACTATTTTGACAGTTGCCCATTGCTGTATGAAAATTCAATTTTTAATAAGTTGTGAGCATTTTTAAAATCTTATCTTAGATCTTATAGTAAACATAGGCACATTCAACCTTTCTAAAAGACGGGTGTGAAATAATGATATTGATGATGAATGCGAGCTATGTGTGTTTTTTTTAATTAATATATTTATTATAGTTTAACAAATTAAATCTTTACAATTTTTTTTGCTTTTTGTTAATTAAAATTACTATTACTTTTATTAAAAATGCTAGCAAATCAGTTGTATTGCATGAAATAACGCAACAATTAATTTTTGTACATGATGATATGTTTTTATGATAATAAATAAATAGTTATCTTAATTTTATAATAATATTCGGTTGGTGTCGTACACAGATAGATAAATAAAGAAGTAATTAATCAATAAGCTTGTGTATAACATTGTCATTAAGTAATGTGAACATTTTAAAAGTCTTAAAAGTGAGACTATATCAAACTAAGTAATAAACTCACACGTAAGTCTTGAGATAGGGTCTGCAAGATTGTCTCTAGCATTGGAGTTAATTTGATTGGTAATATCTCTTAGAGAACTTGCCGTAGCATTTTGTCGAGAATTCCGCCTTAAATTATATGACATGCGCCTTTGAGCATTTCTTGTATTAGCCTCTTGTGTAAGTTGTTTATGAGTCATTCTTTCTCGCCTTCTCCGATAATTTGATGAATTTGGCCTTTGATTTTCCATATATTGGTACCTACAATCATTCATTTAAGGGAAAAAAATTTATACACTTGATCAAGAAATAAGTATAAAGTATTTCATAAAGATTTGATAAATTTTGATTGCCAATATTACAATTTAAATATCCGAAATTGTCAAACTGTAGATGCTCCATGTCTATATCCTATCTAGATTAATAACTTTTGCTCGAGTTTTTGGAATTAAGATGAGTGTTGCATTAAAAATTTATTTTTAAATTTGTACAATTTATTAGCACTGCTATGTACATAATGTGGAACATACATACTACAGTATTTTATTCACTTTAATTAAAAATATTTGGCAATAATCCACATTCTTAAAATTGAGACAACAATAATACGAATTATTACTCTGGTATTAATAATTCACATGTATCTTGTCTATAGCATATGCAAGAATAACTGAGTTTCTTTTGTTAACCCACGGTTTGTAGTAAAAGGTGCTTGGACATTTAATTTTTGCTCACTTAAAGGAAGACTAATTCGAGTAATGGGACCTTAAACATAGAAAAATCCAAATATCAAGACTTATATATTAGCCATTCAATGCCATAGGAAAGAGACTTAGGATTAACGGACTTGTATGAAAGACATACGGAGTACTATTTTGACAACTCTACAATATCATATCATACAACTTAGTAATTGCAATTCACTAATACCCCAATTAAGGTATGAAAGATGATTATTAGTTACTAATGGCTCTTATTAGTATAGGAGATAATATCAAGAAAGTATCTTGATATTATCTTCTAGCATATAACACTCCCGTACTGCATATCATATCTTTTGATCATGCAATTATTTTGTGATCTTCTAATATTGTATAATTACCTTTTCTCAATATCTTGTCAAAGATATTATTACATTAGTTATTATTTCATTCTTTAATTTAGGAGAACTCTTGTATATAAATATTGTACTCTTAACTTCTTGAATATATGAAAAACACTTTACTCTTTCAATTAGATGATTAACAATAGTTAATAAAAGTAAAAAAGAAGAAAGAAAGAAAGAAAGGACCTGCAAATAAATTGATGCAGTCGATCGAGCGGGACCTAAAAAATCACAACCCCAAGGTATACTCGTAGTACTTGGCCGCTAGCCGAGATTGCCCACTTTTGTTTACTGTCAACACCAATCAAGCCTTGTAGTGGTCCATTTTAAGCATTATGATAGTATTTTTTGTTGGTAATATTAATGTCTATCACTTTTTTCTATAAGTTTATCAATGCAATAAATTAACTATGGTTTCTTTTGCGAATAGATAATGAGATAGAAAAGAAAGAGGTTGAAAAAAAGGAAAATGTAACCATCAAGTTAGATGATCAAATCTTAAACATAACTGCTTACATGCAGTGGCGGACCCAGGAATTTCTGACCGGTGAGTCACAAACTCACAATCGATAACCAAATATGTAAAAAAAAAAAAATTTATCAAAATTTCCAAAAAAAATTATTTACAAAGATCATCCAAATAGAAAATTGACAAGATTACAATACTAACTAACATTTAACAAGCTTAAAATTGACAAGACTAAAATTAACAAACTAATAATTTTTTTTTTTTTTTTTTTTAAAAAAAAAAAAAAGACTTAGAAATTGTTTTGGGCCCTGGTGAGTCATTTGACCCACCGAGCACAAGGCCAAGTCCGCCCCTGCTCACATGTTAGTTTAGTATCCTTTTTTCAATTTTTTTTTTAATGTTTATTTAACTTTACTATAGTACCCTTGCAGACTTTGTTTTGAAAAAAGATAACTGAACGATTTTTAATGTTTTACAGTAGAACTTAAATAGCCTTTTAGGATAAAATTATAGTAGTTAATACATTAAAAAAATTTAAAAATTAAATTATTTATTTTTACTTTAAAAATAATTCCACATAAACCACAATAAAAAAAATAAAAAAATAAAAACAAATAAAAAAAAAACTTTGTATCATACACTTTTGTTTTACTGGAGTTTTTCTTAGTCAAAGTATCTTATTATCATGTTTTCGTTAGTTGTTCCAAAAAAAAAACTTTGTATTTTTTATTTCTTCCAAAAAAAAACAAAAAAAAAACTTTGTATAGTTTATGACTTCAAGATATTTATAGAACTCGTATGTACTTCAATTAAATGCACTAAGTTAATCAAATTTCATTTTCCGTCCTCTTATCTATTTCTTGATATTATGTCATCAAACAAATCAATGCCATCTCTCATTTATATGACCTTACACCCTTGTCAAAATAAAAGAAACAAATGTTAAGGTGGTAATGACTATGGAGATGAATTAAGGGAGAAAGAATTAAAATCTATTTGAGTATAGAAAGTTAATTTACATATAGTCTGATCGATAATCATCTATTAGTCGCCTCAATAGAATTAAGATAACTTTTTGCCAAGCTGGAATTTTTTTTAATACTTCGTATATATTATTAACTTAATCCTTTATTTGTATAGTATTAACTTAATCCTCTTATAATGTAAGATAGTCCAAATTATTATGCTTAAACTATTAAGAACAATATAAGTCGTATTATAGTTGCATACTCTAAAACTCACATTCATATACTTATTAATTTAATTTTTTTTTAAAGTGTGGAGCAAAGAGATTTGTTGTCATGTTTTTTTTTTTTTTTTTTTTTTTTTTTATGGATTATGTACAGTCTTGTTTTTTGTCATCTAATTTAAAAATAAAATAAAATAAATAAAGTATTTAAAATACATCTAATAAAGTACTATACATATATATCTAATAAAATCTATATAATACACATATCTATTAAAACCTATAGAATATAATATTTACATAAAGGAACTCATCAACTAAAGTACTTAAAAGAGTACTAATAGAAAAAGTGTCGAGATTTTCTAAAATATGTACAATCTAAGTAAACAAACACATATACACATAAAAAGTTCCTAAGAAATAGTTGAAGATAGATTTTCGCCCATCTTATGATTTTTTCACTGAGTTGTTGATATCATTATGTATCCTGCAATGTAGAAGATTGAATTAGAGGTAGTGAAAATTTAGAAAAAAATTATTATGTATTCTACCATGTAAAAATTATTAATAATTAAATGATAAAGGTACAAACCTTTGGAGTAAATGTGCACATTCTTCTTCCCAACTGACGGATGTCACAAAATTGACTTTGTAGGGTAGTAGAGGAGAATGCGTACTTGGAGAAATTTTGTGAAAACATATGCATTGTACAAACTCAATTGACACTTCTCCTTGAGTTTTGATCCCTCATTTACCTATAATGATATAGTGGGACAACAGTTAAAAAATGAATTAAATTAAATATATAAATTAAAATAGTTGAAATCAATAATAAATATTGTAAATATTCATGTAAATGTATTAGTATACCGGCTCAATCCATTCCTTAACTTCAGATATTGTAGAACGAAGAAGATACTCAATTTGTTTGTTGAACAATATTAGACGCATTGACCCACTTGAGTCTTTGATAGTAATTGTAAGAGCAACCCTAACAAAATATAAATGAATAAGAAAGCTACGACTAAAAAAATATAATGTTGCAAAAACTTTAAATAAAAATTAAATAAATAACTCACCCTTGAATAATTTGAACATCATTTTTGTGACACTTATAACATATTACTTGACCAACATTGTAGTACACCTTATTGTTGCAAATAGAGCACGCATCATACCAATTGAAATTTTTTTCATTTATATCAATCAATAATCCAAGTATTCTGTAAATTTTCCCCTGAAATAAATGACACGTTTAAAAAATATATTTAATAGACATTTAAAAATAGCTAAGTGATATAGTAATGTAAGGTAAAAATCATAATAAAAATGTAGGTAAAGTTGAGATGAAATTACTTTTGGCATTGATGGAAATTGAGATATTGTTGTACGTCGTGCATTTGATGTTGTAAGTGCCTTATCCAGTGAAAGGTCGCATGTTTGTATCCATTTGACTTTTAATTGTGCAAAATGATCATTGTGAAACCTGAGATAAATACATATGATACAGTAGTGAGTGGGAAAAAAAATAGTATCACATACATTACTTTTACTTTATATTATGTAATGGGTGTCATCGTTTTATGCCTATCAAGAGTATCTAGTTGTTTTGGTGACATTTCAATTCTTATCCTTTTTAATGTCAAATAATTTTGTCGGTGATAACATATATCAAATAATTAAAGTATATAATTATCTACACGTTTTTGGGATGACTGTGGTTTTAAATTTTTTTTTGATAAAATAGAAAAAGAAAAAGGAAAAATAACTACTACATTAGTAATCTTAATCACATGAACAAACGTAAACAATTAATAATGGAGAGGCAATAGGAAATTATTGGACTACACTATAATTATGTATAGTAATATTAATAAACAACAAATTTTTCTGTCAAAAATAAATAAATAAATAAAATTAAAAACATTAAATTTTAAGAGTCACACACTCACACGCTAAAGAAAAAAAAAATGCTCATCAAAGAAACGAAAGTTTTTAAAAGTAAAGAAAAAAAATACTCACCACTGCATCAAGCTAGAAGAAGTAAGATCATTGTGGTTTATATACAACCTTGTGTATTTGCCTGTTGTTAAAAATAATGACCCTGAAAATAATAATGAAGTTAAGGTAAAAGCTAACAATGATACAGTAGACAACACAAAGAAAAATGTAAAATAAATAAATTACCATTAAAGTATTTAATTTGTAGCCCACACCCTAGCAAGATGTTATTTTGGTGAATGTTTTCCAAAATGTGTTTGCCGATTTCATTCACAAAATCATTCCATATGGTCAATCTCATAGCAAAGCAATTGCTACAATAAAATTTATTATGTTAGTAATGAAAATATATAATATTTGGATAGATTAAAATAAAAATTTATAATTACCTTTGGTCGAGTATAACAATGTCTTGTTTAATACTTTCTCCATTGTCAATCGCGATAGTTTCAGTTGAATAAATGATAATTCCCATGACAACTACATTATAAACAAACAAAAAATTGTAGAGTTAAAGTAATACATGAGGTTAAGAAAAAGAATATATATAATCATCAACTGACTACTTAAAAAACATCAAATTTTAAGTAGTATTATAAGAAGAATAAAATACCTATCAAATTTTTTGCGAAATTTTTGAAGGAATTTACACCATGTAGGGAAATTAAATTGTAGAAACTTTTTGGGAATTCGTCATCATTTGTATCAATAACTGACACCTTTGTTTCTCGAGTTATATTCAATTGGTATTGATTTGGTATTAACTTTAACCAATCATCGGCATCAATTACATGTGCACCTTCAAAGGAATATACCAATCCCTCCTGTAATTTTCCAACAAACTGATCGACATCATTTGAGAATATGACACATTGAATTGGCTCTCCCTAACAACAGGAAACACAAAAAAAAAAAAAAAAAAAAAAAAAAAAAAAAAAAAAAAAAATTATAGGAGTTAGCAAGTTTTGTCAGTAATAAAAGTATGAGTTAACACAAAAAGTATAGAGAAATAATGGTTTACCGTAGCGTCAATTAAAATCATTTTCTATATTTTTCGACCATGTCTCATATTTTGAATGTCAAACGATCTGATAAGCCGGGCTTTCACATTCCACTTTCGAGAATATGGATGTAAATATATAAAAGGTGCATATGGTGTAGACATATTGTAGGTAAACCTCAAAAATATAATCGTTGAGTTTTAACCATAAAAGATTGAGCAATAGGCTTAACTTTTTTGTAAGTGGAGTATGAATTCATTCAAACTGGTATGAAGATGTATTGGGAGCAATAGACTACGTGGGACTTTATTATCCCAACAATTTTGTTTTGTTTTTGACAACTGTCAATGAAGTAAAGCGTGGATAAGTTAAAAAAAAATCCATTTTTTTTTAAGTAACCAACTAAAACGTGGTTTTACTGGATCAATTTTTTAAAAAAAATCCAAATATTTTTTTTTAAGTAACCAACTGAAACGTGTGTGAGTTGTGGTTTTATTATTTTTTTTAACAAAAAAATCTTTAGATAATTTAAGTTGTTTAACTGCTTTCCTTTTTAAAAAAAATTAATTGACTATTATATTTATCCATTTATTATTTTTACCATAAAAGATAAAAAAATAATATATTGTGAATTTTTTTAAAAAAAAAAACGTTAAAATAATATGCTGTGAAGAATTTTTTTTTTAGTGGATTGTTTTTTTTTTTTTACAAAAGTTAATTTCTTAAAAAAAAAAAGTAAATTAGGAAATAGAGAAGGGCATTTTGTGAAAACACAAATTTATCACCCAAAACCCCCTTTTTCTTTATATATTACTATAGATTAGAAAAAAGATGCAATGCAAAAATGCAATTACTCCCCTATTTATAACCTATCACCTCACCAATAGGCTTGGCTTTCTAATGTGAAGTAATGAAAGATTTAGGGCTAATTTAGCACCTAATATTGTCATTACCCCTATTGATACCATCACATGGAAACTAACACATTAGTTAGCATAATAATAATAATTAAGGAAATTAAGAAAGGAATAAAGATAATACCTTGAGCTAGATGTAGCAATTTTTTGGATAACCCTTCTTACTTATCAAGGATGAAAAGATGATCACTCCTTAATTTAAGTGCAATAAAAGAGACTAAGTGATTTTTTGGAGTTTTGAGATAATAAAAGAAATTAATGCAAAAATAAAGCTAAGGAACATTTTTGATTTTTAATTAGAAAAAATAAACTTGAAAAATAAACATAAATCTTGAGAAACAAACCTTTTTTTTTTTTGTTTTTAATATAGGCTAGGAATACTTAAGCAATTAAACTAATATTTTTTAACAAGGATAATAATAAAAAATAATGCTTGAACTTGAAATATTTTTGTGTTTTTTTTATAGGAATTAAAGATAATAACAATACTTAAATAAAAATCTTATATATATATATATATATATATATAGGGGAGTTTTTTCCCGAGTTTTTAGAGAGCCACGTAGGATAATCAATTTTAGTGGTAGCCAACTAAATACGAAATTATTAATTTCTTTTAGAATTTAATAATTTAAATGACACGTCAGCAAAATTGACAAATGAGATTTTCCAGTTTAAACTAATTAAATATAAAATATCATCTTTTGATATTAGGAATTTTATCTAAATATATAAAAAAAATTATCACATAAATATATGTACAAAAAAATTATTTTAAAAAATTTAAACAAACCGTGCATCGCACGGGCTTCATCTAGTAACAATAACAACTTAATTATAAGATGCTTTTTATAAGTTAATAACTAAAAAAATAAAGCTAAATTAGAGAGATTTTAACTAAAGTAAAGATTAGAGGAGAAATTTTTATAGAGAGAATCTTTAGAGAGAGAATTTGTAGGAAATTTTGTTGTGTCTAAAACTTGAAAATTAGGGGGGTATTTATAGGAAAATAAAGGGGTTGATTTGTAAATAAAAAAAAAGTAAATTAAAATTCAAGGATTATTTTGGTAAATATCAAGATTTTGGTAATAATGAGAATCTTGATGTTAAATTCTTTCTTTTTATATGTAACAAACTTACTTAATCTGTTTTGCAACACTTAAACTGATAAAATAAAGAAAACCGTAATAAAATCAACTCTAATATTCACATAATAAAAAGGTTCTAAAATTCCATGGTATTACAAAAAAGAAAATATATGACCAAGTCATGTCACAACTCAAAAATAATACTCACATGGTATACGATAACAAAGTGCCTAAATTTATTTAATGACTATTATACTCACCAAGGTACTAAAACCACACTTATAAAATAAAAACCAGCCCTTAGATGTCAGCTCTGAAAGTTACACAAAGACATTAGTTTAAAATACTAATAGGGTTGGACAAAATATTTTAGAGTTTATATAATAATAATAATAATAATAATAATAATAATAATAATAATAATAATAATAATAATAATAATAATAATAATAATAATAATAATAATAATAATTGTAGACACCTAAAAATGTCTCCCCAAAACCAAATTCAATGATAAATAACCTTTCACCGCCACTATTGGTCGGGTTTAGTATTTAATCCCGAGAGTGCTTAAAAAATCGTATTTTATTAAATTCATATTTTTGAAAGGTCCATGGATTAGTCTTGATGTTTGGTAAAAGTATAGTTTTAATTTTAGCCCAAACTTGTTAATTAATTTTAAGCCCAAACCTTTTTATTTTATTATTTTATTATTTATTATTTTTGGCCCAAATATTTTATTATTTTCTTATTTTAGCCCGAATAATAAAAGTCAGAAAAAAGCCCAAAATTATCAATCGGCACTTTAAAAGCCGAAAGAAATTAGGGTTAAAAATGAATTTAGACGGAAAAATGGACTGGAGCTGACCGTGTCACGGTACATCTTGACCGTGTCACTGGAACTGTTCCCGTCTGACGGTGGGAATTCCCGTGACACGGGAGGTCTGCCGTGACACGGAAAGTTCCGTGTCCTTTCCGCGTAAATCCTTAACGCGTTTTCCGTCCCGTTTTCTGAAAATTTCCCGCGTCACTCCAAAACTGACCGTGTCACGGGAACTTGTACCGTCTGACGGTACAGTCTAACCGTGTCACGGTATAGTCTGACCGTGTCACGGAATACTTTTTTTTAGGGTTTTTATCATTTTAGGGTTCCGTGTGCTCCCTCAGCACATTTCCCTATGAATACCCCCTCATTTATGATGTACGGGGCAACGAGAATTCGATTACTCTTATTTTTCTCTCTTCTATGCTCTTAACCTAAACACTAGCCTACCCTTTTCACTTCAAAAATTCCTTCTTCAAGCACTCAAAGGAGTCCATATTTTACTCGAGGTTCTGTCCTTAAGCCAAGGCGTGAAAGGTAGAATCGTTTGAGGGTTTGGCCCCAAAATCAACCTTATTTAATTCAATTTAGTTATTGTTTTATTATTTCCTTGAAGTTACTAACTCGTTTATTATTTTGTAGTTGCAAACAAACAGATTCAAAGTAAGGATCATGCTCTTGTTATTATTATTATTTTTCTAACGATTTTTATATTGTTGGAATTATGATTAAATTGGTTTTTATATTAATATTGATTCTATTATTATTTTTTATCACCATATTGCATGTTAAAGGGAATATGTAATTGAAAATCACGCCTAATAAGATAATTTGGACAACCGGTTTAGGATCCTTTTAATCTTATTATTAATTGAAGTGATCACCAAATTTTTAGAATTATGTGTGCATTAATATTCAACCAATTTAGCTTAATAATAGTTTGGAGCAAATTGAATATTTTGTTTGCATGCCTTTGAGATCACAGGAATGCTTTTCAATATAAGAATCGAGTAGAGGTCAATACGGGCGAATGTTACTCCATGACTCACTTCGTACCATCATCCCCGATCCTCCTTTCGTGGTTCCGAACCATATGGAGTTAGTAATCTCATGGATTATGAATGGGGTGTAACCTTCACGGGTCAATCGTTGTTGCCTATCGTTGTCCCTTTATCGTGGTTGCCTTTTATGATCCGTGAACGGTTTACAAGTTCCTAAAAAACTTGTTGGCGGCTCCCTACTTTATTTGTCCCTAATCGTAATGTCAATTCCCACTTCCTATGAGTGCCAAGCATATTCACACATGCTTTTACGTAGGCGCATTTCAAGCGACGCCTACAATAATAATAATAATAATAATTATAATAATAATAATTATAAAAATAATAATAATAAAAATCCCTGCACTTATTAGATAGTACATATAAATTTACCCAAAAACATCTAAACATACGACAAAACCTTATGAATACGAGCATTTCAAATAATAACCCTTAAAAGTATAAAGTAAGGTAAGCCATATAAAATAATAAGATTGACATGGTCAAAGTGAAAATACACCATGTAAAATCATACAATATTAAGTCATACAACATAAATTTAAGGTAGTCAAGAGTAAAATATATTCCCTTAACTGAATGACCTTTAAAAAAAATGAACTCTTATCTTGCCTCACTTTACTAAAACACAAATTTATACTTATCATAGTCGTAAAAACAAAGATAAAAGATACAAAACTAGATCAAAACAATAGGAAAACAAATAAAACAGAAGACCAAATTCACGTCGGCAACGCAAATTAACGTAACGGAAAATACTATTTGAATAGTGTCATCAAATAGTGTTTGAAGTCATCAAATAGTGTTTTGAATAGTGATATGCAATATATGATGCGTATGAAATCCAGCTGTCCTAATTAGTGTCAGATAAATATTGATACAATTGATCCAAATTGAAATTTATTGGATACAATATTAACCGTGGGGATAATAAAAAAGACAACTTTATTTCACTATTGACAATTGTTTATTAAAATTGACGAAAGAATACACAAAGTAGACTGAATAAACAAATCATAAAAAAAAAAACCGAACAAAAAGAAAAAGAAAAATTAATTATAAAAAAACGAAAAAAAAAACCAAAAGTAAATGTCAGAATGAATTCACAACAAAGAAAAGAAAAGTCATTGAAACAAAGAAAAGCACGATCCTACTTTTTAGCTGCCAACACTATTCATCTAACAATCATACGAAAATCCATACACGTACAATTATACATTTCCATCCATACGTATCCCTCTTTTACTCTCATCCATACAACACCTAAATAATTATCGACGGGTTTGGTCCGAACTTGTATTTATCGGAATAAGTATTAACTGTGGAATAAAAAGACAATGACATTTTAACAAGTGTATATAAAAG